TAGTTTCATAAGCTTTTGATTAGAATTTGCATTAATTTTTTTATTCATTTAAAATAAAACTTTACATCATGATATATAAGAGTAGATAATTATTAGAAAGAAAAAAAAAACTCTTATTAGTCTTTTATATATGATTCGTTAAAAGGTAAGTTTATCCAAACTGTTTGTTTTTTTTAATTTTTCAGAAACATTTATATCTTATTGTCCTCTTATCTAGTAAGAGGTAAACCAACCTTTTATTTGTCTCTTATTTTTCTCGAAACCTTTAACAACAACGTTTCTCAATCGATTAACCTTAATCGATAATTTCTCTCAATTTACCAATTCGATCCTTACATCTCTCAATTGGTGTATTTTAACGAGATTTAAATGTGTTAAATACCGTTAATAACATATTTTCTTTTAAATTAATGTTAATTATATAATTTAAATATAAATTTCGTAATGATGATGAATAAATATGTAAAATTATATAAATTTATCTATAAATTCAACATTATAATTTTCTAATCGGTAAGATAGACAACTTAAACAAATTCAGATATTATCACTTTACAAAAACAAACAGTCTTATTGATTCAGATTTCAGACTTCAACGCAAACCTCTTATCTATATTATATTATAAAGCATTTGATAAAAACTCTTAAAAACCATTTTTATGCATAAAGTATTGTTTATTGATGCATATTACTTAAAATTCAAGATTACAAGTAATTTTACATAAGTACAACTTATTAAAACTCTATCTTTATATTCGTATAACTAATTGCAAATAAACATAATCAAATATAGGATTAAACATCTATTTTAAATATAGAAAATCTAAAATATAGTTAAGATAATCATTGAGTTTTAACATAATGTTTAATTATTATATTTATATAAATTACTTTGTTATTAGACCGAAATTAAATTATAATAAAAATTTGAATTAAAGAAGTTACACCAAAAAAAGGAGAACTATTAAATAGTTAAATTTGATACTAATATCGATTTTATTTTATTTTTCAAATTTTTATGCCATCTTCAAATCTATATTCATTTAAAAATAAAAACATTATCGCTTTCTCAAGACCATACAAAATCGTATTATATCGATAGAGACAAAGAATAAAACCAAACATTAAAATAAAGATTTATCTCGCTGCATTGTATGAGTACCCTTCTAATTAATCAAAAGTAAAATAAAACTTCAGATTTCAACACATCTTAAAAACAAACGCTACCTTAGTCATTAATAAAACACACATCAAGACATCATTATTCCTTGAAAAATATATAATTACTAATTTGATAGTTTAATAAAATAAAATGAAAATGAAATTACAAAAACTTAAAATTTAATTTACTCTATTAAATATGACAACATGAAGGTTTGAGTAACTTTATTAAAAGTAAATAATTAATTAATGTATTTCTTTCATTTATAATATTAAATAAAAATTGTATAATATTAAAACAAAAATAATATATATTGCATTTATATTTTAAAAAATAAAAGACATGCCATTTTAAATATTACAACATTTACTTTGTAATTTAATGCTAATTATTTGTTTGAAAAAAAGAGTGAAACAACAAATTAGCAATAAATTAGAAAGAAGATGCAAGAAGGCAAAACATGTTACATGCAATGGACCTTTTGTCCGTTTCTATTCGCCGTTTATTAAATGCTTGCTTGGTAAGTGTTTATCGGATAAATATTCTCATCAGATGAACATGACAAGGGCCAAAAATCTTATCGGGTAAGAGCGATGAGAAGGACGTAGAGTCTTACCCGATAAGTGAAAATGACGACTCTTACCCAGATAAGTGCTTACCCGGTAAATTGTTACATTCAATACGTTTTGATGTACTAAAATCTTACGTATCAAGATAAATTATAGTGTTGACTCCTATAAGTAAATACTTACCGGGTAAGCATTTGGGTAATCTTACTTTTTTTTTCCTCACGTTAATTTTAAGTGTTATTATATTTGTTTTATGACTTCATTTGATAATAATGTAGGATGGTTTGACGACAAAATTAACAAATGAAATGACTACAGTTAAATCAATACAAAAAGGAGAAAACGGGCCTCTCGGGGACCTCTTGCCCGACTTATGTCGTGTAGAAGATCGCCAACTCTCTAGAGGGAGAGACGAGATCCCGCGACCAACCGTGCACGTTAAGTCGTGCAGATAGTCGTCTGCGTGCAGTTGATCGAGCCATCCATCAGATCCAGTCAATCGTTTCCGTTTATTATTTCTTTAATGTTTTCCTATTTAGATTAGAATTATTATTTGTTTCTTTAATTATTACTTAATTAGTTTAGGTATCCTTATAATTTTAGGATTTATTTTTAATTATTATCTTATTCACTTTCCTATTTGGTTTAGGATTAGTTTTGGTTTGAATTCCGTACTTATTTCTTAATTAGTTTAGTCTATTTCAGTTTATTATTGATCGATAAATTATTTTTTATTATAAGAGTTTTCTTCTAACTTTTTGAGTTCTAAGGGGCCGTTTACCAAATGCTTACTTGAGTAAGTGTTTACTTGAGTAAGTGCTTATCAAGTCACATTATCTTACTGGATAAATATGGCAAGCACCAAAAATCTTACCGGTAAGAACGAAGACAAGGACCGAAAGTCTTATCCAGTAAGTGATTGCGACAACTCTTACCACGGTTAGTGTTTATCAGGTAAGTTATTACATACGATGTCGTTTTGGTAGCCTAAAATCTTACCGGTAAGTAAGCGATAACGTTGAATTTTACCGTTAAACGCTTACTGGATAAGTGTTAAAGTAAACGGCCCCTTAGTTCTTTTCCTCCTGAATCGCCACATGTTTTAGTGCTTTCTCGAAAATCCAAGTTGTATAAATTCATATTTTAGTTTTTCGACATATTTTTTTACAAATGCTTACAGATTTTGTGAAAAGTCAAATTTTATAAATTCATTTTTTTTTTCATATTTTTATACAATTTTAACGTATTTCTTGAAAATTCAATTTTTTTTAAATTCTTGTACATTTTTATGTAATTTTAAGAATTTTTTCAAACCCTAATTTTTACAAATATTTATATATTTTTTAGTTTTTGTTTATTGTTTTATATGTAATTAAAGTAATAATGTTTTTTCGATATAAACACATGTACATTTATACAGTTTCAATACATTGATTTATATACAAAATAATAATGATGTAAATTAAAGTGACGAGTTCCTAAAATTTTGAACAGCCTACGGAGATATGTTGATCAGTTTTTAAAGTTATTGAGTTTGCATCCCTACGACATGAAAAACTTGAAATGTCATACACATTTCTGGTTAATCGTGCCTGATATAGTTGGCCATATGATGTTACAAATGTTATCAGAGTCGGGAATTGCACTGGTGTGTCAGCAAGGACGTTGGAGTCTTTGAAGAGTGGATTGTGAGATCCCGACTCTGGCACGCCAGTGTGGTTCCTGACCGTGACACATGAATTCACGATTTTAAAACGCATCTAATAGAAAAAGTATTCAGTCTTTTATAAGACAACTTTTTGTTTCTTTTCCCGACCAATGTTTGATCTCAACTATGATTCAATATCATATGGTCTTGCACCATTCTAATCATATAAGACTTGCCTTAAATGATTATATTTTTTGTGATTTCAAAATGAGGGAAGCATATGTTTTATCAATCCCTAAGAATACATGCAAAACAATTTTTTTCCCACAAATTATTAAATTAGATAGGATTCCTTTGCACAGAATAAATAGTTGTGGTTTACTTTACTCTCATTTTGAGCCATCGCACAGAAAACTATTTTTCCATTATGATTTTTGCAACCGTCTTTTTTAAACCATTTTATAACAAATTCGTCATTTCTTGATTTATTTAGGTGTTAATTTATGATTCCTTTTCACCTTCTCGTAATTTGACTACTTTCTCGTTTGATCCTAACTATATATATATATATACACACACACACACACATGGCCCATTCAAGAAAGAACTGACTAGTTTGTGGTAACCGTGAGATCCAATCTCAACCACAAATC